GTTCTGGTAATGAGTATTTCTTTGATAAATATCTTTGGCCGTTTGTGAATCAAAATGAAATCAAAAGCCATCCAGATTGTGGTCAGAGGTTACTTTATTGATACCTACAACACATCTATATTTTGGTTTTACTCAATATTACCTGTGATCTAATTCAATTAAATCACCTTGAATATGTTCAGCCACTATATAATTCTGACTTTTCTTCAATAAACATAAAAAAAAAATCAAGACAAACTAATGTTTTGTACTCAGAGTGAAGTTCGCAGAAAGTTTTCAAAGCACATTGGCACATCCATTATTACAAGACCAAACATTAACAAGGTCAGTATAACAATACAGATGTATTGTAAAATCTTAATCCTCAACTCAACCGTCATGGATTAAAAGGGTAAAAAAAAAGAAAGAAAAGAAAAGAAAAGAAAAAGAAAGAAAAAAAAAAAAAGAAAGAAACATAGGATGAACTGATATTTCCTGCTTGTAACTTTTATTCTACATATTCACACTCAAGTTTCACGCTTTTTTGCTGAAGAGCCAGATTGTTCACAGATAATTCTTGGATTTGGATTTTAAAGGAATCTAAAAAAAATGTCTTTTTGTTGTACAAATATACCTGTTACAGTGGTGTTTGCAAATCTGTTCCTAAAACTTGGCAAATTCCTCCATTATTATAGAGCAAGGTAATTAATGTGAACTGCTACCATACCATAAGCTGTTAAAAATAAATAAATAAATAAAAAGGTACCGAGAATTCTCAAAAATCTGTTGCCTATTGTAAAAAACCCTTAATTCTACTCTCCCTGTAATGAATTTGTCGGTTATCAACATTAAGTCTCCATTGTTCTCTGGAAGCCAATTTTTCAACTATAATTCAAGGTTATATATACAATACGGTATATATATATATATATATATATATATATATATATATATATATATATATATATATATATATATATACATGTGACATACTCAGTGGAAACAAAGCCTCAAACCAAGAAAACCTCTGAAAACCTTCTCCAAACAGCATTTCAACGAATGCAAGTGAGGGAAAATACACGACTTTTTGCGAGTTCCATTGACCTTGCATTCTTAAAGCAACTCTCTCTCTTCCCGAACTTAAAACAAAACCTCTTCACGAACGAGTCGTTTTGAACATTTCAACGGCAAATGCAATCCAATGCTTCTGACAGTGTGGGCACTTGTTTTTCTCTGTGAGACACGTCCAGCTGCCATGCCATTGTATATACGCTATATGGAGTGAGACTGCACTAAATGTAAGGAGTGGATGAAATGGAGGGGATATCTTCTCCCAAGAATGACAGGAACATGATACAAATTTTTTGTGAATTTTCCAATAGCAAATAATGATACAATGTAGATGGATTTATGAGGGCACTTTAAAAGTAGAATAATTTATGATTCATGAACATGTAAAGATGATCTCACTTTTAAGTAAACAATATAAGTACTATTAAATACATAAAATCAACTCTGTAAAGATCTGTATGCAAGACCCTAACTGCATCAATAGCAAAAGTTGCACTTTAACTGACTACACATACAAACACTCTTACCAAATTAGCACTTCCATTCTCATTGCAGTTGAACTTGTATCAACAAGGAAATTATATCTTGTCAAGGAAATTATGTTCTGTCATGGAACTTTCACAGATGCTTTGCTACCTTTTTGTACAACTGATTTACATAATATACACTAATACACACATACGTATATATATATGAGCATTTCTGTTTTCTATGTTTTTTTTTTTTGTTGTTGCACATGTGTAGGTGTATGCATGTGTATATGACTACAGGCATATTTATATGTATGAATGTATTTATGTATGTATATATGTATGTATGTATGTATGTATGTATATATGTATGTATGTATATATGTATGTATATATGTATGTATGTATATATGTATGTATGTATATATGCATGTTTGTATATATGTATGTATATATATGTATTTATCTATATATATATGTACATGTACATGTATATGTATATGTATATATGTACAGGTATACATATACATATACATACATTATATATCATTATATATATCATTATATATACATTATATATATATATATATATATATATATATATATATATATATATATATATATATATATATAAACATATATATATATACAATATAAACATATATATATATATAACATAAAATATATTATACATAATATATATTATATATAATATTCATTTATATATAATACATATATATAATATATATATAATATGTAATATAAAATATATATATAGTAAATATATATAATATATATATAATATATATATATTTATAACATATATAATATATCTAATACAAATATATGCATACACATATTTATATATATATATATATATATATATATATATATATATATATATATATATATATATATATATATATATATATATATATATATGGATGTTTGATGTATGCTTGCATATAAGCATATACATTAACTCATACATATATATACACATAATGAAAATAAATGGCTCTATGGCAACTTAATGTCACATGCCCTCTCTTAATTAGTGTCACTGCCATAAATATTTCAACAATCAAATCAATCATCAAAACCTGAGAATATCCAGAACTTGCACACAAACCCACAATATATACATTGGTGCTTACATAACCGAATGACATACGCTGCATGCAGTTCTAAGTGCTAATGTGCCAAGAGACTAAGTAACTTCTTCAATCTTTGGGTGAGGTAATGGTTGATGTCTCTTTATACAATTATTAACTCACTTGGACCATTGTTTTTGGCTAGAAAAAAAAAAGAAAAAAAAGAAAAGAAGAAAAAAAAAAAAAACACCTTTGAGGCTAAGCGCGCTCGCCCTAAAATAACACGAGATTTCCCTCACGAGTGTTTCTCGCGGCCTAGGGATTCCACGTTCAGTTCTGAGCCGGTCCTGCGAACGTTCGACCGAGCTTTCGGCTTCAGCGGCGGCGGCGTCCTTGAGAGCTCCAAGCGCGAAACGACCCTGCGAGATCAGTCCACCGTCCCGTTCTCTATGGGCTCCTGCTTCAGCTTAAGTTCGTCTCTGGTGATGTCCTTCATGGTGACGTCCTCCTCGTCCAGGTCAACGCCAGCTACGAGGGGCTTGATGACGCACTTGATTTGATTGAGGGCCTTTTGGTAGACATTGTTATCTTCCTGTTGTGTGGCGACGGGAAGGGGAGAGGAAAACAGGAAAACTTTATTAGGTGCTGAATCAGAAGAATTGTAGGATAGAAGGTGTGTCCATAAACATGTCAGCATAATACGCTCACAATAAAAAAGAATGAAAAAAGAGAAAGGAAAAAAGAAAGAAAGAAAGAAAGAGAGAGAAAAAGAAAGAAAGAAAAAAATACAGGGTTGAATATCCTAGACGACAAAGTAAATACCTGAGCAAATTTTGTGTCTGTATTGCTATTCTAACTGGTCCACTAAAATGCAAAAGTAGCCAAGAGGTAATGCTAGCTAACCCATGGAAATTTGCAAAAAATCTCAGCTCATATACAGCATCTGGCTACAAAAACGAATCGACTGAAAGAAACTGACTACTTGGCATCTTTACCCTTCTCCCCCGCACCCACGCCAGACTGACACAACTGGGGCAGTGTGTCAATAGGCATGATTTGACTGGCATATAAAACTGACCTCTGTGCCCCTCCCAACACACTCCCATTGATGTCCAAACCACAAGTTTCGTGATAATGTTGTACAAATCAGTTCCCTCCCCCTGTTGTCCATGAATCCTCGCCACAAGCCCGGAATAACAAGCACATGAAGGAAAACCAAGAAGAAAAGCAAGACAAATGAGTCGAAGAAAGTCAATCACTGCTAAAATGGGACACAACATCAAAACAAACCCGGTCTGGCATACTGTTAACAAGGCTCTTCAATCTGTGTAAACTCTGAGGAAAACAAAACAAAACATTAACCTCTTACAGCCAAGCACGCCTACAGACATCATGATAAAACAACTCTACATGACGGGTACAGCTATAGGTATCATGACTCACTACAGCAAGTCAAGTGGGAAGTTCCGCTATACATAAAGGACTACCTGGCCAAAGGGGCTAGACGGTTGCCAGAAGTCACCAGAATGAGTGACACCCTGAGATTTCTGGTACTGTCATTGTAGGGTTAAAGGAAAACTAAAAGCAAAAAGAAAAGGAAAAAAAAAAAAAAAAAAAAAAGGCTTTATGAAACCTTAGCAGGAGTGTACTAATTAATGACATTCACCCTGTGAAAGTTAATAACCTTGACTTCAAATTATAAGCAAATCTGAAGGTACTGTATCACATATTTCTCGTTTTCCCCTAACATGTATATCATACATACAAAAGGCCTTATAATATTGCGAGAATACTCTGTTAAAAAGAAAAAAAGAAAGAAAGAAAGAAAGAAAGAAAGAAAGAAAGAAAGAAAGAAAGAAAGAAAGAAAAAAAAAAAGGAACATACACAATACTTACAATAGCTTTCTGAAGTTCTTCCTCCATTGTTTTCAGACTAGAATTGGCACTCTTGATTTCTTTATTAAGCTTACTACACTTATCGTAAGCCTTCTTAGATTCGTCTTTGCTGAACACTGAAAGATATAAACATGTATATGTAAGGAAAAGCATAACCTATCACAGAATTAAAACAGCCCAAACCAACACCCCATATCCATCACCACCACAGCCATTAAAAAAAGAATTAAAGGTATACGTATATATAAATGTATAAGACAGGTACAATGCCGACATCACACAACAGTCCCTGAACCTAGGGAACCAAAAAAGTGATGTCTGTGTTGTGATCAGACAAAGAAACCAACACGAAGACTTACTCAGTTCCTTCTGCAGCTCCTTCAGCTTCTCCTCCGTGCTGCTGCGTGCATTCTCCGACTTCTCCAGCTGCTGAATCAGTTTGCCAATGTCGACTAAGGAGCCTCCGTACTTGACAACACCTGAGAAATGTGTTAATTTTCAGTTTCGATATTATTCTGGTGCAAGAACGAGCAAAAATCTGTTCATTGTCTCTCGCGTAAGACCATTTTTTCCCCCCAAGCATGTATCAATATCTATACCTATCTCTACATATATATAGTAGAAGTGTATAATATTCAGGGGTAAAGAACATGACCAAACTAATTCAGAATAGTAATAAGGATAGCCATATGAAAGACAATAGAAAGCTGCAGCTTTCATTTACCTTGGGTAACAGGAACTGTGCAACCTACAGCAGATGGATCCTTCATCTCACTGTCATTTACTGGAAAAAGAAAAGATAACAGTCTTTTATTCACAATGAATCTTCATTTTATACTCATGGGGTACCTTTCTCAGCTCTGAAGCTCCTTACCATTGCATCACTTGCAGATATCATTTTGCAAGACATACATCCTAGAATATGACTATTACTCTTACTATCAAACAATGCAAGGGGCATATGGTTCTACTCTAAGTAAGGGATGGCTTTTATATAAGTACATTCATTCAGTCTAAGGAATTACTAACATACTGATTATACTTTAGCTTTAAGAAAATTAAAAGAAAAGAGAAAAAGAAAAAAAAGAAAGAAAAGAAAAGAAAGGAAAATCCCTTTTGTTCATTCACATATACTCTCCAAAGCTATTACCGCAAATAACACAAAAGCAATACTACAGCTATGATTTCAGTGTTGATTGGAGTTAGCAATAAATAATCACCTGTATTTCATGAGGTAAGAATTCATAAAAAATTGTAATACAAGTAAAAGATTTGCAAAATTTAACCGACATGCAGCTGTTGTTATGGTTAAAATCCAAGGCCTAGGTTTCATTATCGCATTCGCATGGTTTGTGGTAATATTGGCAATTATAATACTCTCTCAATCATCCTTCAGCCTATGGGCCACACTCAAGGAACTTTACTCGTTGCCTCCCAAGTATCAGCTGCACACGCTAATAATAATCACTCAAGAAGAGTCATCAAAAATCAAGCGAGTTACCCATTAAGATTACCTGCAACTCTTCTCAAACAAAATGCCAAATGATCACGAGCACAAAGTATTGGCATTATACGTGAGAAAATATATTCTTGAGCATGGCCCTAACTTCTACTTACATGTTGTTGAGACAAAGGAATCCTCCTTATTCTTACAGCCCTTCCTTAGGGCCTTATCCCCAACCACAGGGGTACTTAAGGCATCTACGAACACTGGCATCATGGTGTTGTTACCTGTGGAATATATAAACTTATCAATGTGCTTCTATGCTAGCTCATATATCTTAAATAGCTGCTATACACATGCCAAACTACAGATACAAAATATGAAAATATTCAACCACAACACACTAAATCACCATAATCATGGCTGAAGACAAAATTGAGAAGAGCTGTTCAACAAAAGCTTGAAAGGAACCATATCCTGTCACGGCTTATGCTCACCACATAACTTGATCACTGAATGAAACCCCGACCGAAAAAAAGATTCCCACACCATGCCCCTACCCTGACGCAAAATCAAAGCTAATCACCTTTTGCCAGAAACTCTAGGTCTAAGTTGGGAGGAGGATCTCGCGGCTTGTCCTTCTCGTCCAGGGACACGTCCGTCATCTTTCGGTAGTGCAGGACGTCACGGGACATCACCTTCGACATGAGTTTCTTTTGCTGCAACGGAGGGACATTGTCGCTGGTTAAAGCATTACAGTGAGGGTTGGATTGCTAGGTGGGGAAGCGGTCACGAGGAAGAGAATAAATGGAGGGAGTTGGGAAGAAGTGGGAAATTCAGGAGAGAGGATTGAGAAATAGAAGCAGGGGAAGACAAGCAGTGTGAAGAGGAAGTAGGAAAGGTGGTGCAAGATGAAAGAAAAAAGGCAGAATAAGAACAGAGGAGTAGGAGGGAGAGAGGAAAAAGGTGGGGAAGAGGAGAAGTGGGGAAAGGAGGAGGAGGAGGAGGAGGAGGAGGAGGAGGAGGAGGAGGAGGAGAAAAGGAAAGCGGTGCAACAGGAAGAGGAGGAAGGAGGAAAAAGAGAAGGAAGAAAGAGGAAAGGAACGGGGAGAAAGAGAAGATTGAGAAGGAAGAAGAAAAGAAGGAGAGGAAAGAGAAAGGGGTGAAAGAACAGACGAGGAGGAGAGAGTGGACGGAAAGAGAAAAAAGTAGAAAAAGGACATGAGGAAAAATTAGGAGGAGGAGGAGGACAAGTTTACTATGATCAAGCAATATTTTGAAGTTGGTCCTAGTACAAGATTACATTAATGCTCGGAGATCAAATGCGTTAATTGACAAGAACAGGCAACGAAAGGCATCAAAACAGGTAAAAAACGGGACAGCAGGTGGACGAGAGTGTGACTCCCACGCACCCCTTTCCGAATCTCTTCCCGACACGCACCTGCGCTCTGGAGAGGTTGAGCCCCAGCATGTTGATGATGTCCTCCAGGTCCCTGTCGATGATGTAGCCCGTGTGCGTCTGGTCGAAGTAGACGAAGGAGAGCAGGAGGAAAGGGTCCACCGTCACCATCTTCTTCTTCTCCTTCTTCTCCCTTCTCTCCCGGTCTTTCTTGTCGTCCTTCTTCTTCCCATCTTTGCTGTCCCTCCTCTCGTCCTTCTCCTTGGTTTCCCCGACTTTCATGCCCGGCGTCTCGTCCTTGGAGTCCTCGTCGTCCTGGTGATTGTAAGCGTGAAAATAACTTTGGGAAAATAACAATCACAGAATATCAGTGATAAACACAATAATAAGTTAAAGGAAAGAATGATGCCAACATATCAATATGAAACATAATGAAATCAACACTAAAAGACATTTAACCCATTGCCGACAGGGATGTCATGCCATGCCCACTGTGAGATTACTTGTTTGATTGTTTTTACACATAGATGGCTACACTTGTACTAAATCACTGCCTGTCTCGCCCGTTCATCCTTTTCTTTAATTTTCGAAAAATTTTTATGTTATCTTATTTTGCTATTATTAATGTTTATAACATTAATGTGATTATAATGTTTATAATAAAAATAACACCATCGATATTCATAGCACTAGTAAAAATTACATTTTCCCACCAATTCAAGGAAAGATGAAATCAGGTAAGGTGGAGCCATCTATGTGTAGTGACATTTCTTTAAAAATTGTAAAAAATGAGCAAAGCATTTCCCCATTTTTAAATTTTATTTTGGGTTAACCCAATGGTGATGGGTGAAGAAAAAAAAAAAAAAAAAAAAAAAAAAAAAAAAAAAAAAAAAAAAAACTCTACGCTCTGGCGAACCATGGCAGCGCGCCGACTTTGAGTGTGGGAGTTCAGTACATCAGGCCGAATCACCAGCTCACCACATTTTGGCACACCACCGCACGCCATTTTTCGAGCAGTTTGTTTTCAAACGTCGTGAAGGGGTTAAGCAAATTCTATCGTACAAAAAATGTAAACTTAAAGGAGGAGATAGAAAACAGGCGCACTTACAGCCTCTTCTTCCTCGTCTTCTTCCATTTCTTCTTCCTCCTCTTCCTCTTCCTTTTTATCATCCTTCCCATCTTCCTTCTCACATGACCTCTTGTCCTTCTTGTCCCCCTGCTTGTCCTCTTCCATTTTCTCGTCCTTGTCTTCTTCTTCTTCCTTCCTGTCTCTGTCTTCCCTCTTCTCCTTTTCGTCTTTGTCTTCCTTCTTCTCCCTTTCTCTCTTGTCCTTCTCCTTCTCCTTTTCCTTCTTGTCATCCTTTTCTTTTTTCTAAGGGATGGAGAAATACTTATATATATATGTACCTAAAACTTTAATGGGAGGGGAGGGGAGGGGAGGGGAGGGGAGGGGAGGGGAGGGGAGGGGAGGAAAGGAGAGGGGAGGGGAGGGGAGGATAGAAAACGGAAAGGGGAAGGGAAAGGTAAAGGGGAGGGGGAGGGGAGGGGAAAGGGAAAGGGAGGGGGAAAGGGAAAGGGGAAGGGGAAGGGGAAGGGGAAGGGACGAGAGGAAGGAAAAGGAGATAGAGGAACAGGAGATGAAGGAGCAGGATGAGGGATAAAGATGGAGGAACAGGAGGAGAAGATGGAGGAGAAAGAGGAATAGGAGGAGATGGTGGAGAAGTTGGAGGAGGAACAGGAGGAGGAGGAGACAAAAGAGGATATGGAGGAAGAGGAGGAGGAGATGAAGGAGGAACAGCAAGAGGAACAGAAGGAGCAGGAGGAGGAGATGAAGGAGATGGAGGGACAGGAGGAGGAGGAGGAGGAGGAACAGCAGGAGGAACAGAAGGAGCAGGAGGAGGAGGAGGATTAGATAGAAGAAGAGGAGGAAGAGAAGGAGGAGGATTAGGAAGAGGAGGAGGAAGAGAATAAGGACGAGGAGGAGGAGGAGGAGAAAGAGGAGGAGATAGAGGAAGAGGAGGAAGAGAAGAAGGAGGAGGAGGAGGAGGAGGAGGAGGAGGAGGAGGGAGAGGAGGAGGAGGAGGAACAGCAGGAGGAACAGGAGCAGGAGGAGGAGGAGGAGGAGGAATAGGAGGAGGAGGAGGAGGAGGAGCAGGAGGATGAGGAGGAGGAGATAGAAGAAGAGGAGGAAGAGAAGGAGGAGGATTAGGAAGAGGAGGAGGAATAGGAGGAAGAGGAGAAGGAAGAGAATAAGGACGAGGAGGAGGAGGAGGAGAAAGAGGAGGAGATAGAGGAAGAGGAAGAGAAGAAGGAGTAGGAGGAGGAGGAGGAGGAGGAGGAGGAGGAGGAGGGAGAGGAGGAGGAGGAGGAGGAGGAGGAGGAGGAGGGAGAGGAGGAGGAGGAGGGAGAGGAGGAGGGAGGAGGAGGAGGAGGGTGAGGAGGAGGAGGGGGGGGAGGAGGAGGAGGAGGAGGAAGAGGAGGAAAAGGAGGAGGAGAGAGAGAGAAAAGGAAGAGGAGGAAAAGGAGGAGGAGAGAGAGAGAAAAGGAAGAGGAGGAAAAGGAGGAGGAGAGAGAGAGAAAAGGAAGAGAATGGAAGGAATGGAGAGAGAAGAAGAAGAAAAAAAAAAAAACTTTACCTTTCCCATTATGCCAGTGACTGCTTCACCTCACAATATCACAAACAACGAACAAACAAGCCCCCCCCCCCCCCCCCCCCCCCCCCCCCCCATGCGCACAGACAGACACACATACAATCCCATAGCCGTTCCCTTTTCTCAGACACACTCACGGAAGAGAAAAAGGGTAGTGACACTCATACTTACGTCCTCTTTCGTGGGCTTCTCTGGGGCCTCGACAAGGGACCGGTAGATGCGGAAAGCGAAGTCCCTCATGAGCATCTCGTTGAAAAGCTCAGCAAAGAGGCTCACTTCGAAGGAGTGCTCTTTGTTATCTTCCTGAAAACGCGAACACAAAATAAAAACCATGTGCTATGCCTTCTGAGTTTCGTTTATTAACTCAATGGTGACGGGTGAAGAAAAGAAAAAGAAAAGAAAGGAAAAGAAAAAAGAAAAATAAGAATAAGAAAGAAAGAACGAAAAAAAAACTTTGAGCAGTTTGTTTTCACGCTTAGTGGCGTCACCCATCGTGAAGGGGTTAACTGTCTTTACACATTGACGGCTTCACAAGTACAGAGTCGAAATGGGCCAATCACTAGTACTCTCTACGCAACCCATTTATCCTCTTCGTTGGTTTTTGTAAATCTTCCATTTTATCCCATAATGATATGAGTATTATTAGTAACACTATAATAACCATAATGTCTATGATATTGGTAACAATAGTGGAAAAAAAATAATAACTGAAAACTCTAGGAAAGGTGAAATCAGGTGGGGCTACAAGGCCTATTTTTGTCAACTCCTTGGTGGCTGAACACTTGTGGAATCATCTATGTGTGGAGATACAGTACAAAACTATACTATAGTGGACACTACATTGGGTTTAATGTACAAATATTACTTAATAAGAGTCTGCTACGTCTGGTCACTGTGACTGTGCCAGTGTCTATGAATATCTATATCTATGTGTATATCTATATATCTATCTATCTATTTATTTATCTATCTATATATAAAAATATGCATTCCTATATGTATATGTTAATATATATGTAAACCTATATCTATATGTAGATATATATACATATGTCTGTATGTCTGCATGAATGTGTATATATATATATATGTATGTATATATGTATGTATGTATGTATGTATGTATGTATGTATGTATGTACATTCACTGAAAAAATAAAGTATCTTTACTCAGGAGTAGATGAAACTGAAGCAATCACTAGGAATTGATTCAGAAGGTATTATTTGTTATTTTCAAAGCTCGGAACAGTGGATTCAGTGGGTCCACCAGAGACAAGGCCAGAATTGGGCACAAGGGAGGATGATGATCAAGTAAATGTCATTCATAAGTATAAATCAATGTGTTATATGAAAGACAAATAGGAAGCTTGCATTGAAGTGCATGAATATTATGAGCAAATGAGAACCCTCTGATACTCAGTGGCAACATCCTCATAGCCGGTAGTTAGTTGCCACGTCCCCTAAGCACGAGTCATTTTCTTCTTAGTTATTTCCTTTTCTTTCTTTCTTTAGTAATCCATAACTACTACAAGGGATACAAACCCCTTTTGTTCTGCTGGCATCAGCACACAGACTGTCAGAAGTCACTGGGCAGTTTGAGTGGATGTACAGCAGCGGTGTTGGGGAGTGTTGGGGTATGCCTACGTGGAAATCAGAGAAAAGATGTTTCTACCACTGGTGAGGGCCGTGGTGTTCTCAGATACGGAGCCATTTTACCCTGTCCAGAATAACAGCCCTATCCATACGAGCAGTGTCATGAAAGCGTGATTTCACCAACACCCTGAATTACACTGTGCCACATACACCCAAATTGGCAGATCTGTCTCATTGAGAATATTTGGGCAGCCGTGGGCAGAGACTTCCCCCAAGATCATACCCACAATCGTCATATCATTGTTGCCCAAGCAATTACATTGTGTGAGTGATTGAGCTCTACGGACGAATACCAGTTAACAGTGGTGTTAGTGGCATCCATACTACTAAACTTGCCAGTGTTCACCAAGCTGGTGGCAGTAACACAAAGTATTAATAGTATTTTATATTTCAAAATGCTAAATATTTTAAATGTAGCCAAGAGAAGTGAACACAAATTTTGAAAAATTAATTTTTCTAGGGGTGTATTATTTAGTTATTTAGTTATTTAGTTATTTGAAAAATTAATTTTTCTAGGGGTGTATTATTTAGTTATTTAGTTATTTAGTGAGTTATTTAGGTGTAATTACTAAAAAAAAGTTACAGTGTGGCCCTTGGGGGTAGAAACAGACTACAGGGGACAAATGCCCCTCCAACACCCCCCTCCCAAAGGCTACCCCTCTCAGGGATACCAATACCGGGTCGAGCTCACAGCACTTTTTCCAACCATTTCTGTTATCATATATTGTTAAGTCAGAAAGAGTTTTTTTTTTTTTTTTTTTTTTTTTTTTTTTTTTTTCTTTTAAGGCAAGTATACACGTCTCCCCCAAAATGTCCAAGTCCATGTCTATATAAACAATGCTATACAACAAACCTGTCTATAATCCAAGAGCACAGAAAGGGACATTGTTGTACAGTCAAACTTTCCAGACTTTGCAGTTCTCGACGGGTGAACAACAATCATCGGCTGGTCAGGAAGAGTGTATCGCTTCTCTAGCAAATTTCGCTCTCTTTCCTCTGCCTTTTTCTTCTGTTAGACAGAAAAGAAATGTGTGCATTAAGATGTACTGAATAACAATGATCTGATTGCAATTTCATGTAGGAAAAAATATAATAATAATGATAATAGCAATAATACAACAGTTATCACAATAGGCAAACACAAGTCTGTATAAAAATATTTTCCACAAGAGAAACATGAAGATTACATTGGTTCTTGTCAATATAAATATATACTAGACCTAATGCATACCCCTCCCCCTTAAAAAATTGTAATACCGAAGCTCTTATTTTCCCCATCTTTTGCTGAAATTTGAAGTAAGAATGCAATGCCTTACATCAGTTTTATTCCAAAAAGCCAATGCTAAGCCACAATGCCGACCTGAACCAAACGATTCACTTACCTCCTCTTCCTCCTTTTTTCTTTCCTCCTCCTCTTTTCTTTTTCTCTCTTCTTCCTTCCGCTTCTCCTCCTCTTCCTTCTTTCTTGCCTCGTCAACCTCAGCATTTTCTGCATTTGCTGCCTTCTCCGACTCTTCTTTTTCTTGTTCATTTTTCAGTATCTGCATTATCGGGGTACCACATAAACAACATACAACTTCGAGAACATCATATTTTGTTAGAACTTACAATCCAGCGCAAAAACTAGAACCTCACAAGAGTCTGGCTTTGCCTGTGAACAGCTATTTGATCACCTAAATATATACTCATATAACATAATGTAACGACACTTGTATACAGGATTAATAAGCTGTGACATCATATGACCAAAATACCAAT